CTTGGGATTTAAATAATTTATTTGCATAGGCCACCACAACATTTGTGTTTCTATTAAAGGCAAACATGGGCTTACATTCTACAAGATACCAGAGCTAATCATATGGGTCTCTTTTCAAGTTATTCTCTACATTTTTCCAATCAATATAATAATGTAATCAATAGTACTGGACATAGTTTGGACCCCTGTTCTTGGTGGCAGAGTGTTAGACACAATGTTTTCACTGATCTACTGTTTGGAATTTGCTTGCTTACAGGATACGCATGCATTGAATGATAACTAGATTTATCTGCAACATCTCAAATCAAAACTGCTATGGAATCCTGCATTTAAACAACAAAAAAGGAAGAGATGTTGGAACGTGGTCTAGGAATGCAGCCATGTGAGGAGAATTCTGACTGCTTATGAGGAAACTCCAAGAAAACAAGACAAGGGTCTTGTGACCTTAGTTTCTTCAAAACACAGAATTGTTCTTGGAATGTGTTTTTTTGTGCTCCTCTCAGGTGTAGTGGATAGGAGTGAGTTTACTTCAGATTAATCATTATTGCTTGCTGCTGTTATTTCATTAAATGTTTATACTATGCTTTATATGCTTCTATGGAAAAACATGTTTTTGCCATGTGTGGCCTCTCTGTGTGATTGTATACAGGTTGAACTTTGGAGAACTTTGCTCATGTGATTCTCCTTAATTTCCAGAGTATAAATTGTCTGATGCCCTGAATAAAATTGGCTATTGCATGAGACTTTAGTCTACCCCGTTTTTAGGCTCCCAAGTTCCACCACCAGACCAGTAAACACATAAGGAGCCCAGTATAAAAGTAACAACCTGAGTGACACAAAGGACCTACATAAGCATTTCTCTAAAGACATAAACATGCCCAATAAATCTATGAAAAATTAATCATCATTAGTCAATAAGAGAAAGCAAATCAAAGGTATCACTTCTATAAAGTTTTTTTTTTTTTTTTTTTTTAATACTAGAGTGACTTCATCCGGCAACCAATGGGAACAGATGCAGAATCCCACAGCCAAATATTAGACAGAGCTTGGGGAGTCCTGCAGAGTAGGGGAAGGAAGGATTGGAGGAAGAGGAGGGAAAAGGGACACCATGAGAACATGGCCCACAGAACTCTTGGCTGCTTGTGAGAGCCTTTTCCTCCTACTGGGTCACCTTGTCCAGCCTTGATATGGTGGTATATGCCTGGTTATTTTTGTAGCATTTTATGCCATATTTGGTTGATGTCCTGGGGAGGCCCACTCTTTTCTGAGGGGAGATGGTGTTGGGGGCTGGAACTGGGTGAGAGGGGAAGTGGCGAATGAGAGACTAGGAGGAGAGGAGAGAGGTGAAACTGTGGTTGGGATGTGACACGAGAGAATACTAATAATAAAAAAAGAACTTCACAAACAGTACCTGTTAGGGCAAAGGGAATTCCTGCATACCATTTCGTAAAATAAAACTACTATAGCATAGAGGTTCTTCCAAAAGTTCAAAATAGGGCTGGGGCACCAGTGAGCTTAGCATTATGAAGGCTGGGGTCTGATATGTGACGCTGCTAAACACTGAATTACCATATGATCCAGCAATCGCACCACTGAATACATATTCACAGAATAGAGATATCTACATTCCCATATTCATTTCAGCATTTTCCTAACAGCCAAGATGCAAAGCCAGCCCACATCAATGAAGGAGTTAGGAAAAACATATATAGATATTTATCCTTTGGCATTCACAGGAGGCTAGTTCCAGAGCCACCCCCAGAGTCCCCAGCATAAAACACCATGTATTTGCAAATCATCCATATCTGTCTACTTTCATATATCTTTTCTAGTTACTTATATTACTTAATGTTTTGTAAAGGTAACATGAATAGTTTTATAATGTGTTATCTAGAGAATGACAACAAAAAATCTGCACATGTTGTGTTTGGTGCTTATGTAATTTCTTTGACTAGTTTAGACCTGAGGCTGACTGAATCAACAGGTATGGTAGGTCAGACATACACACAATGAAATACTGCTCAGCCTTAGGAAGAAAGAAATCTTATTTGTAACAGTATCAATGAACCTAGAGGATATAAGGCAAAGTGTGATAAGCCAGGCACAGGCAGACTAATGCTATATGATTGCACATATATGTAGAATAAAAAAAACAAAACAAAACAAAACTGATCTGGCAACAGACTAAAGTCATGGCTAAAAGAGGCTGGGTGAGGGGGAGATTGGAGAGATGTCAGACAAAGATGAAATGTAGGAAGGATGAGAGCAAGGGATCCACCAAATCGCCTGATGACCCGCCTTAATGAGAATGTAATGTACATTTGAAAAGCAGGTTTTAAGTACGATAAAATGTATATTAAACTGCCTGAGTTGTCCATTACACAATGCAGACATATCTTAAAGTACCAATGTGTATAACATAAATATATAATTTCAGCTGTTAATACATAAAATAAAACTACAGTTAGGGGAAGTATAATGTTTTTTAAAAAAGTTTTTATAGAACCACAAATATGATAACTTTGAAAAGTGTTATATTTAGGCATGAACAGCACTATAAAGTTAAGTCTATCCTGTTCTACTGTTTGAGTTCCAGAGCAACCAGGGCTACGTAACGTGTCTCTACTTAAAAAATAAAACACACATATTGTTATGACTTAATTATGTGCACCACCTGCATGCAGTGCCCAGAGACGCCAGAAGAGGGTGTTGGACCCCCTGGAACTGGTGGTGTCAGCAGCAATGAGCCTGGGGAATTGAACCTAGTCCTCAGTAAGAGCAGCAAGTGTTCTTAACTACAGAGCCACCTCTCTAGGCCCAGTTTATGTATATTTAGGATCTGTAATACCTTCATACATATGTTTCATGAAGAAGACGCTGAAGTCCCTTGATAAACATAACTGAAAGCACAGTTCATGTTATCATTTTTATCACACCAGGCTGCAAATCCAATGGTACCATAGAACTAGAGAAGACACCCCAGCGAAGTCCCACCAGGAGAGCTTCTACAGAACAGCTTTTAAACAGTCTCACTTTTATCTCTGGATACTCAGCAGTTAAGCAGAGTGACTGAAAGTCTCCCAAAAGTTAGTATGCCACCAAATATTATGGTGTGGATATTAAATGCTACCAACAGCTTGTGGTGAAGACTTGGTTATAGCTAGTCATGCTACTAGGAAGCAAGGTTTTTGGAGGTGGGGCTTGGAACAATCAGACCCTTGAAAATTACATTAGGACTCCATAATGGTGGTTTTTTTTTTTTTTTTTTTTTGGTTACTTCCATAACTGTCTACTTTGTTATAGGCCCAAAATAACAAGGCTGAGTGACTTGGGCTGCAATCTCTGAAACTATCTCTTTTTAAGATTTTGTCAGAGACCTACAATAGAAAAAATATCATTAAAATGATCCCTAATGATATTCTGCTACACTCAGATCAGTGCCTAGTCCAATGGTCATCAGAGAGGCTTCCTCTGGCAGCATATGGAATGGGTACAGAGACCTACAGCAAAACAGTAGGCAAGAGAGAGCCCAAATTGGAGATCTCTATCAGGTTCCTCTCCTTGGAGACTGGGAGGAAGAATTGTAGGAGCCAGAGGAGTCAAGGACACCAGAAGAACATGGCTCACAGTATCAATTAAGCAGGGGTCAGAGGGGCTCACAGAAACCGAGAAAGCAATCGCAGAGCCTGTGTGGGTCTGTGCTAGGTCCTCTGCATATATGTTATGCTTGTTTGTTTGGCGCTTTTGTGGGTCTCCTAACAGTGGGAGTGGGTATATCTCTGACTCTTTCACCTGCTCTTGGGACCTTTTCCTCTTACTGGGTTGCCTCTCTCAGCTTGATATGAGTGTTTGAATGTAGTCTTATTGTAACTTGTTATATAGTGTTTGGTTGATATATGTGGGGGGCCTGCTCTTTTCTGAGGGCAAATGGAGGAACAGTGATCTGGGGGAGAAAGGATGAGGGGGACTGAGAGAAGAGGAAGAAGGGGAAACTGTGGTCAGAATTAAAAATAAAAAAGATTTTGTCACAGAGATAAAAATCTAAGTAACACATTTTACTCTCTTGAGATCTAGACAAATAACAGACACAGAGATGACAATAAAACTTTCTGCCATTCACCTTGCTCAGTCCTGTTGCTCCTCTATCCTGACCACCTGTGAGGGGACAGCTCACGTCCATCATGCTTTCTCCACACTATCAGGGACAGCTCACATCCATCATGCTTTCTCCACACTATCAGGGGCAGCTCACGTCCATCATGCTTTCTCCACACTATCAGGGACAGCTCACATCCATCATGCTTTCTTCACACTATGAGGGGCAGCTCACGTCCATCACTCTTTCTCCACACAATCAGGGGCAGCTCACGTCCATTGTGCTTTCTTCACACTATCAGGGGCAGCTCACGTCCATCACTCTTTCTCCACACTATGAGGGGCAGCTCACGTCCATCATGCTTTTTCAACTGCAGAGTGTCTGTTCTTTTCATGCCACCTTGTTTCTTCAATCTCTTTCTATACCACTGTGATAATTCTCACTAACCTTCTCTGAAGGCTTGGCCTGTGGTAGAGAAAGCCTTTGTCGGTGTGCATGTATATATGAGTTTATATGTCTGTGTCTGTGTGTGTGTGTGTGTGTGTGTGTATGCATATACGCCTGTGTTGTTTTGATCTTTGTGAATTCTGTAGGGACTTCTGCTCCCCAAATGGTTGACTGACTTATTAACTTATTCCCTCAAGCACTTACAGTGTATTACTTATACCATAAAATTTCAGGTGAGATCCATGCCCTTTGTCACTGAAAAGAGGGAGAGGCTGACATGTAAACAAATGATTACCATATGAAGTGAGATAGAAAAGAAAGCTAAGTAAAGTTTAGTGTAAATAGGTTTATATTTTGCTTCCCTTCTCGAGGAGACAGGATGCTCCCTATATAACATAGTGTTTTGCACTTGGTGTTAGTCAAAGATACAAATGAGAAACAGCAAAACACAACTTACCGAGTGTGTGGAAAGGCCTCTGGCTTGGGAAATGTGAGAAGAATCCAGGTTTTAATGCATTTGTAATCACAATGTCAAAAAGGTCTGCGAAATCCTTCCTAAAAAGTAAAGTAAATTTCCCTTATGGAATTAGAAAAGTTCCATAGAAAACAGAACTTAATCGTTGCCTGTGCATTTGATTACAGCATCAATGTTCATCTTTTGATCAACTCTTACATAATTTGTACTTATCTTATACACTTTAAGTTGGAAGCTACGATGGAAAGAGAAGGTGGTTGGGTACTTGCTAATTCTTCTGAACATATGACAATTACTAAAAGAACAAATATGACAAAGAAAAGCAACTAAAGAAGAAAGAATAGGAGAGAGAGGGAGGGAGAGAGGAAGGGAGGAAGGCAAGAACACAGAAGCAGTGCTGACCTAGATGTGGAACTCACTCTCTTGTGAAAACACCTTGGCAAGCAAGAGACTCTCTAGCAGCCCGAAATAGCCCATGTTTTCAAACACGAATTCATCTGTACTTATTGTCTGAAGAGTCAATAGATTTGGTTCTATACAGGTCCCACAGAATGCAGCATTATATTGAGCCCAGTGGCAGTTTTTAGAGTACTCAAAACATGAGGAAGTTACTTTATTTTGAAAACCAGTGAAGTCCTGTAACAATTTTTAGATGACAACATCAGTGTGTATAGAGTGCTGTGCTAAGGCCTATCTGATGAATGGTGGCTCTCTCCAGGGCTCACCGGTACCCTGGAGGACAGTGCTTTGAGATGTGTCAACAATGAAATGTACCGACAGAAATTAATATGAGAAGCAGGATTTCAGTTATCCATGCTGGTGGCAACTGAAAGCCCTGTGTGTTCCAATGCACGGTCCTATACCAGGGTTGCCAAGGTCTCTCAAAGAAGTGCCCTCCCCAGGACCCCTGGACGCCAGCTTTAATTCACTGCAAGGACAGCTGCCTACATATTTTTCAGGAAGCAGAAAACCAATCCCCAGCTAAAGATGCCACAGAATAGACTAAATCCGCACACATGCCAAAGAACACAGAAATTCTGGGCCTAAAGATTATTGATGGAGGTAAGGGGAGGGCTACAGCTTGGTTCACACTCAGGGCAAGTGTGTTTGCTGCGACTGGAAATCTTAGAGGAAATCTAACAACTCTCTGTGGAATCCTGCTTTGACTATGGGCCTTCCTTGGTGCTGCCAAGAATGACATGTATTAATTTACCAATCATTAAAGTTTACCAGCTATTCTGCCCAATATGTATGGGTAGCATGTACTGTACTATTTAAATATTCCCTTATATTAATAAAGAAGTGTTGTCCAAGTTTAAGACAATAAAATTAAGGCTCAAAGAAGTTATAAACTGTACCCCAGGGCACACAGATTGTTGTGAAGGAGGGCCTGAGTCATCTTGATCCCTTTTCAAAATCTACTGCCCTGATTTTATGTTAATCCACCCCTGGCTTTGCTAAATGGCACAATGCATATATCTGCAGTAAAATGGATACAGGGGCTACACCCTACAATCTGTCAGGGAATATATTCTTTTTTTCTTCTTTTTAAGACAAATTTGAAGCAAATTTATTAAATACTGGTCAGGATGATGGACACTGGCTAGGTATGGACACTGGCTGGGATTCCCAGAGAATGGCTGTGAATTAAGTTTGTCAGCATAAAGGCAAAACCCACAAGGCTACCTACTTTGCCCAACTGGGGACAAGCATACATCCTGACATACTTCCTGCCTACACAGCTCCTGTCTATGTGTGACCAAGCACGATCTGTGAAGGTGGGGCAGCCAACCTTGTTATAGAAGCATTCCAGAAGATATCCTAAAGCAGAGCAATGCAATCCATGAAGAACAGCTGGTTACTTACCCAAGGATATAAGTGCCAAGAAGTTTACAGTAATCACTGTGAGAACTGGTGATCAACATGGTAATTTTTCCAGCATCCTTCAGCTGGCGAAGCCACCTTTTCACAGACTCAGGACAGCGGTGCACATACTTGCCTAGATTTCTCTTTATTTCTGGAAAGAAGAATCCACAATTTTCTGAAAAGTAAAAACAGAAAGGCAATATCTTCAATAAAAATGTTTTTAAAGTTAAACTCAGACAAGCACATGTCTTCAAAGCTGCAGAAAACTAAAAGGCATAAAGACTAGGTTCAAACAATCTAGCCATTATGTCAATACTAACTACTTTTTGTTTGTTTGCTTGTTTTTGGAGACAGGATCTCTTTGAGTCCTGGCTATTCTGAACTCACAGAGATTTGCCTATCTATGCCTCCCAGTGTGGGGATTAAAGGCATGTACCGACTGGCCTAATTACTTTTAAAAGCAGTATTTCTGGGGCTATTGAGATGTCTAAGTTGTTAAAGAGTGTGGAATGCTCTTGCAGAGGACTTGAGTGCAGCCATCAACTGTTAGGCTGTCAGGCAGCTCACGAACTGCCTATAATTCCAGCTCTAGGGGCCCAATGTCTTCTGTTGTCCTCAGTGTCTTCACTCAGCTACAGATATCCCACACAGACATAGACAGACACAAACAAAATGGAAAATAAAAATAAATCTTTAAAAAACATTATTTGTTTACTTAAAAATCATGATAATTGATAATGCTATTTCATGAGAATCAATATGCTATTAAAATAATAAAATACAGTATTATCAACATTTCAAAACAGAGAAAACTTAGTGTATTTTAAGTGAGCTGGTTAGTTAATGTGGAACAAATACTTACTGAAAGCAGATAAGAACCAAACATTCAGATAGTACACCGTCTTTGTCATGAAGCAACTATCCAGCCATCTGTGTCCTTCAGAGGCACAGTTGTGTCATTTCAGATGGAATACAAACCTCTATTGCTTGATTACAGCCACTTAAAGGTGCCAGAGCAAAGCTGCCACAGAAGGCAAAAGGCTGGAGTGTTATAGTGGAGCTGCTGGCCCTCGCCCTCATAGCATTGGGCAACTGTAGATTTTGTTGAAAGGCTACCAATTCAAGGGGCATTTTAGAAAGACTGTTTTCTAAGCATGGCAGTACTACCAATCAGAGAAGGAAATCTAAGTTCTTAATTTCTTAAACGTTAGAAGAACAATGCAAAGACAAAACAAGATGTTAAACTGTACTGACTCCGTAAGTATGGGCTGCCCCTGCAACTCAGTCCACAGCAAGGCACATAAAATAGCAGGAATGGAGATTATATTTTAAGAATATCAGGACACCAGGTTAGAAGAGTCTCTATGTGAAACAAACAAACAAAATGAAGCCTGGGGCTGGAGAAATGGCTCAGAGGTTAAGAGCACTGACTGCTCTTCCAGAGGTCCTGAGTTCAATTCCCAGCAACCATATGGTGGCTCACAACCATCTGTAATGAGACCTGGTGCCCTCTTCTGGTGTGTAGATATACATGGAAGCAGAATGTTGTACACATAATAAGTAAATAAAATCTTTAAAAAAAAATGAAGCCTGAAACAGTAGAGGATAGCTCAGGTCCACTTCACTTCTTTGCTTGAGAATACTATAGTTTGTAAGAAGTTTCATTTTTCCTGTCAGGGGCCCTGGATACCCAGCAGAATCTCCGTGTCTCTGTCCACACACACAATAAGAATTCCCCCCACTTATCAGTGACTTTCTTAGAGATGTGCAGAGCCCCATTTGTGCCAAATAAGTGCCAAGGAAAGCAACACAGGGGAGGGGACGCTGGAGCACTGCATACACTGAGAACAGGGTGAATAGCCTTCACCCACTACTCAACTTTGCCATGACTTCAAATCCTACTTAGATTTGTAGGATTTGACACAAAGAACAAGACAGGGATGGGAGGAAAGAAACATGAGGGACCCTTGGACTCCTGATGACATTAGTGGGCCTCAGGGAAGCCACTGAGTTAACAACCCTCTAGATGAAATTTGCTTCGGTGAAAGAAACTCAATTTAGTAACAGCCTACACATTAAGAACACCTGTTATGAGCAGCCCTAAGCATACTGATGAGGAAAACAATACATTGTTAGGATGTCACAACCAGACTAGACCGTAGCGTAAGAGTGGTCTACATCACAATGAGAAACCTGTCAGATAGCAGAAGACCCAACGTAAAGACAGTTCTTTCCACAGTTCTCTTCGTATTTGGTCCCACAAGGACACATGTGCAATTCTCTAGATGACAAACATTTCACCAGCTACTCAATGATCCTTAAAAATTAAAATATATTTTCTGTCCTTCAGTGAAGAGAAAGTTCTGGTAATAGAAGGATGTTAAGGGAAACAACAAATGCAAATGGCTAGGAACACAACAGTTTAACAAGTATTGTCACATTAAAAGTGGCATGTACTTTTGTAATCTGGGAAACAGACTTGTTTCATGCATGATACTGAAAGTATTTACAGACAATCTTTTCTGTATTTAGAAACTATTTTTCTTGGCCATGTGTGCCTACTGCCCTCTAGCGATCAAAATACAAACTGCTATTAAAATTAGTGTTAATTACAAAGGGGTAGAAAAAACACTGTGTAATTACAAAGGGGTAGGAAAAAAACTATATATATAGATATATACCACAATTTAAATTCATTGTCTAGATTAATTTTATTAGTAACTCTTAGGAAGTCTAATCCAAGAAGACAAGTATACTAACTTAATCAGGAAGGTCATTAACACTGGGATAACACTTTTATAAGCCACTGAATAGAACAGATTAAAAAACACAACACCGTTTGAACAGATGCCAATGGTAGATTTCAAGTTGCATGTACTATAAAAGATCACAGACTGACATACCTATGTAACCTCAAAAAAGTGTGTGTGTGTGTGTGTGTGTGTGTGTGTGTGTGTGTGTGTATTCAGAAGCCAGAAGACAACCTCAGATACATTTTCAGCATCATTCACTGGCCTGAAGATCTACAAGTAGGTTAGGTTGGTGGCCAGTGATCCCCAGGGATCCACTTGTATGCACTTCCTCACTGCTGCAATTATAAGCAGGCATCCCTGTGTCTGGCTTTTTGTGTAGGGCATGGGGTGGGAGGCAGGGATGGAACTCAGGTTCTTGCAAGGCAAGGATTTACCAAACCATCTCTGTAGGCCCCTCAAATCACACCATTCAACACATTTTAAAATTACATTCATTTATTATATGTTATCACACACTTATCATGGCACACATGTAGTGGTTGGAGGACAGATCAGGGGAATTCTCTCCTTCCACAGCTGATTCCTAGGAACTGAACTTGTCAGCACTGATGACTAAAGCCATATCTGCCCAGCCCTCTCTACAGTCCTCAAACCATATTCTGATTAAGAGAGAATTATAGTTTTCTTATTAAATGATTTCCCCAAGAGACTGAACTTTGAAGACAAGAAATTTACCCTTCTGCTTGGCATGAAGCTGACAACCAATGCACGAATGCCGGATTAGTGTAGAAGAAAATACAAGAACATTTAAGTCTTTATATTCAAAGTAATATAACTAGGGGTATGCTGCCAAACTGTGCATAACAAATAATGTCTATATTCACTATGAGCTGTCACAATCATTTGTATCTGAAGTACTGGTTCTCACCATTATAAGATTACATATAATACAATACCAACTGATCACCACTAATTGGACAAGACAGGGAATTCAGATCTAAGGTGGAAAGCAAAGGTCTTGTTTATTCTGAACTTGCAAAGAAGTCTGCCTTTTTGCTTAAGCCCTGAGAGAATTCTGTTTCACTGCCACTTTCTGTAACTTATTTTCCTGGCTTTTCCACCACCCCTCTTAGCCCAAGATGCTGTTTTCTGTGTCCAGATGGAAAGAAAAGTAAATTTCAAAAAGTGGACTTTAAAGAATAAAAGTTTAGCTGAATCGTGTTAAAGATTTGGTTGACACAGTGTCATGGGAAAGCCACAATGCAGAGAGAGTCTGCTGGGCACAGAAGACAGCCTGCAGGAATCAGGCAGAGTTGGGAGACCTCTTGTGGCCAGAGAAAACTAGTACAACTCAAACACTGAAAACTGTCAGTTCCACAGACTTGGGCCATATCCTATCATCCCTGAGTAACAGCACCTTATTCTATCTCTGTAATTTAACTCATATACCTATGTCTCATTCCCAAGACCTGACTCAATTGGCCTGGGCTGTCATGTAGTATGTCTGAAGACCCTGGAGTATTTAGGCTAAGCAGTACTGCTCTGAATATGCACACTCAGGGTCTTTCTGCGATTATCTGTGTGTTTTGCATGTGCCACTGGAAATCACAGGCTCTCTGAGCAAGGGCATTTTAATTTGAAAGTAACTTTATAGGCTAAAGTATACCTCTGCTTATGACAAAGGAAGCACACACATATTAACTGCTACTTATTACGTTTTGTATGTCTTATTTATTTGGCACATAGGGTGCAAATGCTACAGAAAGGCCAACCTGTGGGAGTCAGTTCTTTCCTTCCACCAAATGGGTTCTGGGAACCGAACTCAGGGTTATCAGGTGTGGTAGCAAGTATCTAATTTATGAAATATCGAGCTATCTTGCTGGCCCAGCTGTTGATTATATGAAATGTTATTGTGGCTAGCTATCTTTAAAATGTTTACTCTTATACACATTAGCATGACATTCTTTGTTTAATTGGGTATTCCTATTTGTTATCTAAAACTGGAGAATCCCTGGGGTAAAAAAGGCTGTCACAGGGTTCCTTTAGAAAAATTATTGATATAGTTCAAATGAATTCACTGATAAGCCAAAGATACTCCTTTATGTCACCAGAGCTGCTGCCTTAGGTTTCATTCTATTGCTGTGATGAAACACCATGACCAAAAGCTACTTGGGGAGGAAAGGGTTTATTTCAGTAATCCATCTGGAAGAGAAGTCATGGCAGAAACTCAATGTAGGACCCTGGAGGCAGGAAGTAGAGCAGAGGCCATGCAAGAACAAAGCAGTTCACTGCTTCACTCCCTCCTCTCATGGCCATACCTTCTGCAGACCTCCCAGGACCACCTACCCAAGGTAGGCACCACCCACCGTGTGCTGGGCTTCTCACACCAATCACTGATCAAGAAAGCAGCCCACAGGCTTGT